CCAGGACATTTCAGTTGGGATAAAGTGAACAATGGAACAAAAGATGCTGCTGAAGACAAGTCGCCTGAAAAAGCCTCTGTCGAAGAAGAAACTCTACCCGGTTTTGAGAAGGGAAACAGTGAAGTCCTTGATGAAGTTACTACCACTGATGTGACTGTTACCGATAATAGGACATTTCCTGATGGAGCAGATGAACCCCACGTGATGCAGAAGCCAACGAGACGGAGACCAGTACAGAAAAAGATACGTCCCGTAAAATTAAGAGACTTTGTTGAATTTTAATTTTGTGTTTTTAAATTCTGTATATTTAATTAAGTTATTGTTAATTAACTATTGGTTTAATGTAAGGGACGAACAATACTAAGGAAGGGGCAGTGTTACGACAGCGGAAGTCACATAATGGTGGTAACACGTCATGAGTTTCTAGAGATCATGACTGTTCCTCGCAACTCTAGTCTTTCCTAGGCGCCCTTTATTTTAGTATATAAGCCGGCAAATAAAGCGGAGGGAGAATTGCAGATAGGGAAATATATAGACAGTTAATCCAGTCAAGTCGTAAGTAAAGTGCGTGAATTAACACTGAAAAAAAAGATCTTCCTGTTGCTCAACACTTCAAACAACGCGTTCATTCTATTAACGACTTTACTCTCATCGGCATTGAAACCGACTTTAAAACTAAAACTGATAGAGATATAAAGATTATTGGATTATTCGTTTGAATACTGTTCAACCCTGTGGAATAGATCTAGATTTTGGAATCAGTGATTTCTGATCATTGATTTGTTCACAGACGAAAAACTATTTTTTATTTCTTTCCATGTAGTGTGAACTCTCAATGTTTACCCCTAATCTTTCTAATATTATTATTTATTTATGATAAATTTCCATGCCTGTCTTTAGAAGTTGATCTGCTTAACATTTCTTTTTTAATCAATCACTATGTGTCACCTTTATTTTACTTTAACAACACTTAAATATAGTTTTTCTTAACTACTTCTAAAGCAAACTCAAACTACTGGCAGGTATTTCGATTGAAATTAATTATTTTAAAATAATTAATCATAGGAGGTGCTGGAAGATTGAACAGTCTTCCTTCTCCCCATTCGAGGATTGGAAAATGATATGGAATTAAAGGCTGACGTGAATATGATACATGATATACATTGGGCTGGGCACTGAACACCAAAAAATGTGGTCCTTCCTGGCAGCGAAGAATGTTTTGTGGGGGAAACGGGAGTACCTCGAGAAAACCCATTTTTACTGGTAAGGTGCTAATCCATTACCAGTACCCGATTAACGAGAAGATGTAAGATGTAGGAGACAGGGTGATAGGAGAGTCTGTAGGTTACTTTGTGTAAGATGGAATTTTTCAATATGCAGATGTTACTTAGGACGTTACTCATGTTGGGAGGGGGTCTGGTCGGGTCGTATTTTCTGGGTCACTGATAGGTGAGGCTCGTCTGTTTGGCCTTCGATGGAGTAGGAAAATCAGTGGAAGTGTCAATATATAAGGTGTTAGGTGAATTTGATGAGGAGGGTGCGGCTGGTGGGTCTAGCTTGTGGGACGGGAAAGGTTGTAATGTACCGGGTCGGCTAGGTCGAGAGGAGTCTGTAAGCTGTTGATCTCCAAGAGACACGGGTGGGAGAGTCTGAGTGTTTTTTTTTCCTCTTGTAGGGTTTTGTCTATGTGGAGTAGGTGAAGGCAGTGGTTAAAGTCGATGAGTCGTAGATTTCTGGAGCTACTCTTTGTGTGAACTGGTCGGAGGTTGAGATTAATTTGCAGGTTTGGGTTGTCTGGCTGGTTGAAGAGGAAAAATAAACCGAAGCTGGCACGTGGTTGTGAAGGTAGGAAGGGGCTGGCTGGGACGAGGGG